GAGACAAGTAAACTTGGGTTAAGTGCACCTCAAAAAATAAATAAAAAGAAGAAGAAGGAGAGGTTTTTGGGGTGGTTTAGTCAAAGTCTGGACTTGGATTAGATTGAGATGTGTTGACATGCTTGTAAACTCTCCAATGGGACCAAATTAAACCAATTCTAGAAAAGAACAGTGGGCCAGAGTTCCTGTACAGTGATTAGAAAGACTCATTGCTAGTTATCTAGCTAATTTTGTTGCCAACGGAGGCCCAACCAGTTATTACGTTTAGGAGGGCCGGGCAGGTTTGGATTACTTTCATCCTTATTAAATTAAATCATCATTTAAAAGCTGGATTTTGCATTTACTCGGGTATCTTTGTCAAACATTAAAATTGGTTTGATGATGTGAGACATGTAAGTGTGAGAAATATGCAAAAAAACTAAGAAATCAAGAGGTTTATCTACTTTATAAGTGTGAAAATATGAAAACGAAACAAGATCAGCATCAGATTAGATTTAAATCTGTCATTGTGCTAAAACTATGTGTGAAACGAACATTTGTGGAATGAATATTTTTCATGAACATTAACAGAAGACGTATTTTTGAAACTGTTCCACGTTACTTCCAGGTACCGAGCTGTGGCATCCTGGTCACGGGTGCAGGGCACGGGTCTCCCCACGGTAACAGCGGTGGAGATTATGGTGATCTGGGTGCTGTCGGTGGTGCTTGCTGTGCCGGATGCTGTCACCTTCACTATGGTCCCTTCCACATACAACAACCATAGCTTCAATGTCTGCATGTTGTCACACAGGAACACACCCTTCCTGAAAGTGAGTCTGCACTCTGAGAGCTTGCGTATGTGGGCATGTGTGTTTTTATGGGAACATCTGATAAATATTTAACCCTCAAAACTGACTAGTGGCTGCTACAACAGTTTCTTCACATCCTCCACAGCTCTCATGTGTCTCTTAATAGTTTTTTCACCTGTAAGGAAGCTTTTTTTTAAGTGGTATGTCAAATAGAAAATTGCAGGTAAAACAATAAGAGAATGAGCTGGTAGGGAGTGGTAAAGAGAGTCATTTATCAATTCTTAGCTATCCCAGTCTGCATGCCAAAGTATCCTTGGGAAACATACTGAACCAGAGGCACCAGTGTGAGTGTTTGCACAAACATTAGACATGGCACTTTGGTACTTTGTGCTACAGTTTAACAGATATCAGGTAAAAACAAGAAGCCGTGTGTCAGGTTTGATCATGATGCCACTTTAAGATGAATGGTCTCCATGGACGGGAAATAAGTGGCCACTTTCGTCCATTTCCATGGTGGTTGTTACGTCTCTGGGCAAGGCCTCTTTAACTCAGACGTTTAGGACAACATTTCCTGTTTATGTCTCCAGGTCATGAGTAGCACAAACAAACAGCACAGGCACTTGAATCTGAACCTGGGTCAGCTGACCTGCTATCAGTCTTTGGACTGAATCGGTGTTGTGTTTGCATATTAAAACTGAATCTTTGACGTAACAAAGCAGCTGGGTTCAAGTACAAGCTACCAGCTCCAAACACAGATCACAATCGTGGTCATAAACAAAAAGCAAAGTTTAGAAAGACGAACATGTTCACATGGGATTATTAAAGGATAACATGGGTCTATTTTAACCCAGTTCATTTCCCATTAGTGTGGCTGTGGGCTCGGTTCACTCTAATGTTGCACTCTCCTACATGGAAAAGTTTTGATTCACGATGGTAATGCCAGCTTCCTGCAGCATTCAAGGAACATGGATTAATTAATGAGTCATTTCCAACATGTTTTGGATCTGACACAGAAGGGAGCTGAAATCAAATCACCAGCATATTTATCCACACACGCTAATTTGATTTATCAGCCTGCTGGTGTTTGTTGTGCTCCTCCTTTTCCTGAATCTCTGGAAAACAAGTGCAAAGTTAGTATAACCAACAGAAAACCAAACACACCCTCGCAAACTGTCAGTCTATTTAATTTCCCATCTCTTCCTCCAACATGTCAATGCACCATGTCAGCGATTGCTGTTTCAACCCCTCCACCTACACCAACATCCAGCTGCCAATTACAGTATGCTGCAGATTTTCAGGAGCCTATCACAGTAGTCTTAGGGTGACAGGTGGTGTACACCTGGACAGGAAGCCAGAACATCATGGTGCCAACACAGAGAGATAGACAACTGTTCACACTCATATGCATACCTACAGCCAATTTGGAATCATCAGTTAACCTACCAAGCACATCTCTGTACAGTCAGGAGAGATTTACGCAAGGAGGGGGGGTTAAATTGCTAACATAAAGGTCCCAGCTGAACTCAAATCCAGGATCAATTTTATATAGTATACAGAACCGCAAACAATACCCTAGAGGTGATTTATAATGTAAGATAAAAAGCCCTAAGAGCCGATACATGCCCCCTTGAGGCCCATATGGAGGCCCAAAAGGACTACAGCTATGGGGCCCACATATTTTCTTTGGACAAGTCCATAGTGGGTATGTCTATAGAAAACCCAAAGGGGCTAAACTGCTGTCGACTCTGTGTATGTGCACTCGTTTGGGGATTACGGGAGATAAACATGGGTTTGTCCTGCCCACACTGCTGCAGTCTGTGGATTTTACAGACTGTGTGGAGAGTGAAACTGAGGATCCAGATGCAGATGTGTGGAGGCAGTAAGAATTAAACAGAAAAAAAACCACCTTTATTGGCAGATAAATATTATGCAAAATCCATAAACAAAGTAAAAACAAAAGGACACATAACTATCAAAATAAAGCAGGAAGTGAAATCTAATAAATAAATAA